ATATATATATATATATATATATATATATATATATATAATTTGTAAATTTATTTGTTGTTCATCTATCTGTCTGTCTGTCTGTCTACCTATTTATTTGCATGTGCTTAGACAAATGCTGCATCAATTAACTATACTCAAATACCCTAAAGCCCCTGTAGTAGTTGATTCTACATTTACTCATGTGTCTTTGTGGTTTAATCTATATATTAAATATGGCTTAATGGTACATTAACAATGAAGTTATTTTTTTTTAATCTAAGAGTTATGAGCTACAAGGCTAACAAGATTAGCTCTTTATTTTCTTTAAATGGGTTTGTTAATTCTTTCCTAAAAGCTACCGGATTCACTAAGTTGGTTATTGTGAGCGATAACACATACCACTCCAAGGACCCAAAGTTTTGTCCAACAGTGACTGACATACAATATGAACTCTGGTATTCTGTGCATAAGTTAAAGTCATTTTGAAGGCCTCGTCAAACTGTAATTACTCTGATATATAACTACGACCACACTCGATGACTTTCTTGTCAGTCCTGCTCAATGATTTTCCCTATCAGATTAAGCAGTCTAAATGTACTGATCTCCTGGAGACAATAAACATACTTTATGAGTTTTGTTTCACTAAAAATTAAAATGCTAGACTAATCATATGATAAATAAATATAAAACTCTATTTTTTAAGAACCAATATCATGATCATCTCATACCATATATTAGAGAGGGATTTTTTTTTTTTTTTTTTTAGAAAATGAAAAAATAAAACGTGCTACGATTGTAATTATCCAGCTTTACTACAAATAGCACCTGGCTATTGAAACTGTCTGGCTTTGGTTAGAAAAGTACCTAGCACTGGGTGGTGCTATAAATGTCACTCTCTGGAAGAGCTTATAATCTTTCAGTAACAGTGCCTAGTAAAGACAATTTTGTCATTTTGACTGTTCAGTTCAACATCCCTACCTTAAAATGAAAACTTAACTCTTATAGTACTGTTTCACTCCTAATATAAGGTCAATTTAAAGTCAGTTATTTAGTATAGACTAGAATCTTTATTTATAAAATAAAAATAGGTTAGTTTAAGAGTTAGTACAAATGATTTACTAAGGCTCATGGTAACTGCTCTGCCAGTTATGTTTCTTTACTACTTTAAATGTCTAAAACTCTACAGGTAAAACCTATTACCTAAACTGAAAGAACATTTGGCTGCTTAGTCTAGCTTTATCAGGAATATAATCACACAACTTTCTTTAATCATTATTAGAATACTTTGTCTATATGTCATATACCACAATCATATAGTAATGCTGTGTGAATGAACATATTTTCTCAGTGGTCTGTTAGGTGTGCTGTATTTTCACAATTTTTCTTTTAACTTGAGGTCACATAAACCATTGTTTCAAGATGTTCTACCCTTGCAACCAGGGACCATAAATTGGAATCCAGATTTTTCTGCTTGATGTAAATTGCTGAAGGCTAATTCAAAATTTGCTTCAAATCATGATTCAGTAGAAAAAGTACTCTTAATCTTCATTTAGTTAACAGATCACTTTCAAGAGGACTAAGAAGATGGTCCTGCATCTTTGGCTTCATAAGTGAGTTAAAGAGACATGGGAAAGACCTTGTTTACTTCCTGAGTTAGAAACTCAGTGAGGAAGAGGAGCCTAGGCAAGGACTTAAAACTAGCTTGCAATTTTTATGCACAGTAAAGTTTGAGAATCACTGTCCTCAGCCAAAAAGATATAAAGGAAATAGCAATGATCATGTCAGCCAAGAGCAGGTGACAGGGCTGGCCGTATGAGCATTCTGCCACTTTTTTTTTTTTTTTTGTACTTTCCCCAGTCTGTGGAAAGCAGTCATTCCCCACATGAAATCTGCTGTTCTGAGAGAATTCTACAGCACCTGCATGACAGGTTAAGAAAGCACAATGTATGTTACATGCATGTGGGCCATGAATAGTAGCAGATCTGGTGTGAGACCTCACAGTCGGGAAAATAGAACAGCTAGCAACTTAATTCTTGTTAATCTTCAGTTGTTATGATTTAATAGCATTAACTTAAAAGGGATAGGGCATAATGAAAGTCTAAAACGGTGATGTAACGCCTTATTAAGAGGCTGAGACAAAAATCATCTGAATTTTATGCTTCCTGGTTTGAGAGTATTTGATAAAAGAGAAAGCATTTTGTTTACCGTGCATGCTTTCAAATATGTTCAAAGAATACAGAATATTTAATTTTTTCGTGTGTCACTACATAGCACAAGGAAATATTTGTTCTGCCTGTTAAAGAGGGAAAAGCTGGCAATAAGAGTACACTCAGCACAAAAGGGAAACAGAGCCACCTTTCAAAACATTCCATAGCAGGCTTAGCAAATTTTAAGTCAATCTTGCTTGATGTAGTTAATCCTATGATATTTTCTAAAGCAGAAATTTTCGAAATCTAAACTTAAGATCTTCTTGTTTTCTGACAGATGGGCAAGGCCTCCTGTTACTCAGTGACTTTATGAT